AATTTCTGAAAAATAACTTTACATTATAATTTTCTCTTTTGGAAAGGATGTGAATCAAACTCTGGGAAGTGAAACAAATCCACAGGTAAAATTGAAGAAAAAAATCCAGCTCAAAATTGAGTAAATCAAAAATAACAATTTACACAACATTTCGTTCTCTTCTCAGGTTTCTAATGGTCAACCTCTAACATTATAAAAACCAACAATCCCTGGTTTATCTTACACTTTATATTTAATCAATTCTCTCAAGTCAGTTTAGCATCTCTGGAATCTATTCACTGTGCAAATACTTTTACACAATGTCCACTGTATTCTGCAACTATGACTCTAGCATATGGTTTGTCATCTGTTAAACATATACCCTGAGGGCCCTTCACTCCATCCTTGTCACTGTCAATTCTATCTACAAATCTATCACTGCTATCAAACTTTAGTATTCTACTATTGCCATAATTACACACATACATACACCCCTCTCTGTCAGTCACTACGTCTTCTGGGCAGTTTAACTTGCCCTCATTATCTCCTTTAAAGCTGAATAATGACTTGCCAAATGGGTCAAACACTTGTACTCGATTATTATTCTCTTCTGGCACAACAACATTTCCATCAGAATTAACATTAATTCCATTCAATCCGTTTATCTCTCCAGACTGATTTCCCTTTCTACCAAAAGACATACAGTAATCTCCTTCCTGGCTATACAATCTGATGCAATCTGACCATCTATCTGCAACATACACTTTCCCATTTGTTGGACTGATAGCAATACCATATGGATTCTGTAACTCTTTGTTACCAAAGCACCTTATTAGTCTACCACTGTCATCACATACAACCACCTGTTTATTGATACGGTCTGTAGTGAATATATAACCTTCATCTGAAACAGCTGAATACCTTGGACAGAATGAATTGGGAAAATTAGTGAATGTAATAGTGGAATGAAAGGCGCCCTCTAGAGAGAATAGTTGTAATCTTTTATTTTTATGATCACTAACTAAAACTTGCTTTGTCTTGGTCAATGCTACACCATACAGAGACTGTAGTTTCCCCATACCTGAACCCAACCCACCTAAATTACACATCAACCCTTTTCTAGGTATCACATA